CCTTGAAACTTGGTGATCCAAGCCCTTGATCGCGGATCGTGATCGATCAGTCGTCGATCCTTGACTATACTCCTTCTTGACCGTTAGATAGATTAATCCGCAAATTTTTACAACCCGGTTCTATCATCCAGTCGTTTGGCCCTATCATTCGTGCCGACGGGCCTATCTCCGAGTGCACTCCGCCAATCAAATCGATCTCGCACTTAATGTGGTAGGCGCGACCCACACTTTCCATCATTATTCTTCTGCGCTTCTCCACAAATACAAATTGCAGTCATATGCTCACTAACCATTGCGCGCGTCATCCTTATTCAGACGCTTTGTCCTTTGACCCATATTGGCCGATGGATCAAGTCAATATATGATAGCTTTTGCATTTGTACCTATAAACATGATTTTTAAAGATAATTTTTTGCATCGAATCTTGTAATCGTCATTGTCATTTTCTAGTATCAGCCCGTAATTATCAGTATCGTGAGTCCGTTTTATTTTTAGGGGATGAATCGAGGAACTAAGTCATCTATAATCCACTTAAAATTACGAGGCCTCTTACTTAAACGGAAATGGTTTGTGTGCCCACTTTCATCTGATCCGAGAATTTTGCTTACTTACGTTGGAAGGTAGAATCCTACTTATTTTTGTGATGGTTGATCGCGTTACACTAGCAAAGAAAGTCAGTTTCCCACACGGACTTATATATACTTTAGTTCGGTCCTATGAGCACATGATCATCTAGTAGGTACCTTAACTTGTGCTATTTTTGCATGCTGTGATCATACCCTTAAAGCTATCACATTCGCTTCGGTAGAACGATATACGATAAAAATTACTGTAATGTGCAGAGCTTCTACCAGGAAAGTAGAAGTACCCGCTTTGAAGGTAGAAGTGCACCTCTTGCGTTTATCAATTAAAAGTCGAACACTTCGTGAATTAATCAACAAAATCACCAAAACACGAATATGCTCTGTTGCAATCTCGAATAGCGTTCAGCTCTTACCTAGAACTGTGTTCTTGATAATACTATGTGTGTATACCTTGTGACACACAATGATATATATTACTTAGCTTAGCCCTTTCTGGCAACAGACGACTTGCCTTGCACTTATCACTTTTACGACTGGGCTTTTCATACATGCGGCTGCAGCATATCTGCGAACCGACACGTAACGGGGCACACCCTTGCGTGAACTTAACGCAAGGGTATCGTGCCCCGACAAGCGTACACGAGGCAAACGAGGAAGCGTAGATAAGGGAAAAAGTAAAACTGCTGTATTAATATAATTAAGTTTTTAACCACTGTCTCTCTGTTTGACTTAACTTAATTATACTAATCTTACTGAATGTATGACGGCGTCTACTCACCACTCATTGCGCGCGTCTTGCGGCGATTTGTGGGTTGATATCATCAAGATATCAACCAATGAGCAGACTCTTTGGTCGACCCATCAATATCACCACTATTGGTGATATTGTTCAAAGAATATTCAACATGATATTGTTAAAAGAATATTCAACATGATATTATTTATTGTCATTATCTCTTAAATGACAATTTCCATGTACAGTCTTCCCTCTGCTAAGTTATAGACTTGGTGGAAGGCAAATCTTATAACATAGCAGAGGTTATTCCATAGCAGAGATATGCTGCGGAAAAATTATTAATTTAATTAATTAAAGAATCAAAAACGCAACAAACCTCCAGGCTTCCAAAACCTGTCTGTCACGTGTCACGTGCCATTTGACGATTTTGTGATTTTAATTGCCCCACCAGTCTCTGGTGATTTTGCTATCTCTGGTTAAGAAGTTCCACCAACTGTACCTTGCTCACTCACAACAGATGTCGCAGATACGTCTTACCAACGAGCAGAAGCTGCGCATCTGCAAGCACCAGGATGCTAACCCGCGCATCACCCAGACTGCCCTGGCGGCTTGTACAAAGGACGCCTTTGACCTCCAGAAGGCACTTTCCCAGGCAGCGATCAGCTAAATCATCAAAAAAAGGAAGGAGCTTGAGGCAATGGACACCACTAACCTCAGCGCTAAGCGTCCTCGGACTGTCCAGCACCCAGCTGTGGAGGAGGCCGTCGCCTTCTGGGTCTTGCAATGCCAGCACCGTGGGGTCGCTCTCACTGGAGATCTCATACGGGCCAAGGCTCAGACTTTTGCGGGATCAATGGGCGCCTCGGAGGAAAACATCCGCTTTTCGAATGGGTGGCTCCACAAATTCCAGCAGCGCCACAAACTGCGAGCTGTCCGCATTCATGGCGAGAGTGGCTCAGCAGATATGGGCGCTCTAGAGGAGGGTCTTCCACACCTCAAGGCCGTGGTTGCTGGTTATACTCCACGTGACGTGTACAACATGGACGAAACTGGTAGGTCTGAGAATACAGTACAGTACTGTACTCATTGTACAGTACAGAAGCATCTCAAAGGCTCACTTTCTGTTCAGGATTGTTCTACAGTATGACGCCCGACAGAACGATTGCCCAGCAAGAGGTCGAAGGGTTTAAAAAAGACAAGGTACATTATTGCTCTCATCTTGGTTTCCTGCGTTTCTCTGACACTAACAACTATTCTAGACGCGCATCACAGTTGCTCTCACGGCAAACGCTGATGGATCCGACAAACTCCCGCCGTTCTTCATTGGACACGCCAATAAGCCGCGGTGTTTTGAGCGCAAGTCAGCTAAGCGACTGGGCTTTCTTTACCGCAACAACAAGAAATCCTGGATGACTGGCATACTCTTCCAGGAATGGCTGGGAGACGTCGACAAAAGTATGAAGGTAATTTGGGGCATGCCTTGAACATCATCGTTGTGGTACAGTAAATGAGGTTTGACTAACGCGTTGACCACAGCAAAAGGATAAAAAATCCTGCTTCTCATGGACAACGCTCCTTCACACATTGTTGCTGACCTGGAACTCACCAACATCACGGTCCAGGCTCTTCCTCCTAATACGACTTCAAAGGTCCAACCCATGGATACTGGGATCATTGCCGCATTCAAGAGGCACTACCGCCGGCTGCATCTGCAGAATGCCTTGGACCGTGACGAGCGCGGAGAAACCAACCTTTACAAGGTTGATCAGCTCACGGCCATGCGTTGGTCGCTGGCTGCGTGGAGCGAGATTTCCAGTGCCACAATCGCCAACTGCTTCCGTCATACGAAACTCATGGACGGTCCGGCTCTGCCGACTGGTGGGGGTGAAAACGAAGCCGGCACTGTTGGCCAGCAGGCCCAGCAGGAGGCAACAGCTGCTGCAGTAGAGGAGCAGCGCGTGGAACAGGATCTTTTTTCGGCGCTGGAAAGTCTCCCGCTCCGCAATTCCATGTCGATCGCTTCTCTTTTCAATCCGGCTGAGGAGGAGGAGACGGCGCATGCGGAGCTGACCGATGCCGAAATCATCAAGCTTGTTGAGGATCCGTATGGGGAGGAGGAAGGTGCTGCTGAGGCGGAGGAGGAGGTGGAAAAGCATTCGAAGGCTGAAAAGCTTGCCAGCCTTAGTCTATCCATCGCCCTTATCGACCTTTCTCAGGAGTCCCGTCGTATAGCTCACCGCACCCTTCGCCAAGTCCAAGCTGATCTCCGTAGTGCGAGCACCACTCAGGCCACACTTGATTCCTGGCTGAAGTAGTTTCCTCTCCTCTTTCCACTCCTTTCTTGCAGTGAATAACAAAAAAAAGGTTCTGCGTTCAATATTTCTGCTCACGGCGGACAAAAATATTCCCTCTGATAAGTTGTATTTGGCCCTCAGACTATTCCGTATAACTCATTCCGTAGTCACCATAGAACGAGGTCGGTGGAGACCGAATCCTATAACTTACCGGAGGTTATTCCGTAGCCGGGGATAACTTAGCAGAGGGAAGACTGTAACGGGCTGCCCCGTTACACGACACCTTTGTCAGTCGACTCGTCTTGTACTGATATCCGTCGTTTCCCGTGCTTGACCCTTGGATCAACCAGTTTCAACCAACGGTAGACGGACTCGAGATGTTCCAACGACTTGAAGTGAGAACATATCACAACATGCTCTTCGTATCCCATAGATGATGGTGTACCCGCATATAATTTTGTAATGACAGCTTCAAGTAACTTAATGATCAAACCTGTGTGATAATGCTCACACCTTTGTACACATACCCATTTACAAAGCAAGTGACAGCGTCTGCTTTGTAATAATCTAATTCGGATTGCAATGATCATTGTGCCCAAACTGCTACACTATTGCACTATACAAACCGATTCGGCGGTAATTTTGCATCCTTCGTTTTTGCAGCGAGTGCAAACATTTAGGGGTCTACTTCATATCTTATCCAAGCATGTCACTCACATGCACTAGGCAGCACACCTTGCAGAGGCCAGCATAAATCTTTATGCGCTGACATCTAACGCGTCTGACCGAGGCAAAAACAGTTTACTGGTCGTTAGATTTCAGTTGAGACATCGTCGATCCTGATATCACAATCGATCAAAAAATGTACACCGTGGATCTTCCACACTACCGGTATCTAATCATGACATCTACATGGGCCGGTCCCATGGTGTCTCAACCTTGCTGTACAATCTTCTGATCCGATGTTGACTCAACTTGCTAACAGTTCGCTTGTCGAGCGCTTTTCGATGAGTGTTGTCTCGATAGAAGGCAATTAACGTCGATTCGGCGAGTAGCAATTTGATAGTTTGTTAACAGTTATATGCATTGCACTGTTTCACAGTAGATCCAAAGTATGTAGCTGATACACGACTTTCGTACCATTTACTTGGCCTCTGATGCGTGTGGTCGCAGTAATTGTTGCTGTTCTTACATCATAGCATACAACGCTTCGTGTGATTGAGCCCAACGGTTCGAAACAAAAGAGGCTAACGAAGAACGAGGAAATGTAACAACGATCGGGAATCAACCACATATTACTTCAGGTGTTTCATATGTGCTACTTGCTTCCTATTGTGCATTATACTCTCTCTTTAGCAATTTGAGTTCACGGTGAAAACACCGACTTCAACAGGCCGAAGCGTTGCTCCCTCGAGCTTTGAGGTACTTAGAAATGCGCTGCGCTAGCAACGACGACGGATACTCAACAAGGTAGTACGTTACCGTTGCAACGATCGTAATGAGAACCAATCGGGAAAATAGCCGATTATAGTAATACGGTTCATTGTTAGACCGAGTGTTCTCAACCACGAACGGATGCATGAGGTAGATGGAAAAACCAATCTTGCCCCAATAGCGAAGCACATTCCATTCGAACGCCGCCGACACCCAGGAAGGTTGGACCATCTCAATCACGATAAGCACAGACACAAGCCCGCTGGTGTACGGAGCTCCACGTGTTGCAGGCGTCGGATTCGCGTGAATCCAGTCAAACAGCAAACCACGAAACGACACACTGAGCAGGACAGCGATCGTCAACCCTTCAACAGCTCGGACGAATGCTGTGTGCCACCAGCGGAATGCAAACTCCGCCTTTTTCATCCACAAATCCAGTTTGACAAACACCAACGCTGCCAACGAACCTGTCAAGAACGTCGATATGTGAGGTCTTAGGGGCGAATGATGCTTTCTAATCGTGCAGAAACCCTCGTAGACCACCCACACAGTCAATGGCAGTGCACCAACCAACCACATCCGACGCATACCCAACACAATCAAGACGAATACGGGAATGACGAAGTAGTACGCGATCTCGAGCGGCAGTGACCAGAACACGTGGTAGCGATAGTCGAAATCGAATACAAGTGTCTTGAAGATGTCAAGAGGCGGACGTTTGGAAGTGAAGTAAAACTTCTGGTCTTTGGGCGTCATGAGTGCCAGGATCATCACGGTGACGAAGAAGAGGGGGTACACCCGGAGGAACCGTTTCTGAAAGTAGTCAGCAAGCACATACTTCCACGTGCGGAGGCTCGCACCTTGCGCAAGCAGCTTTATGCTCGTCTTCATGAACAGCCACGTCAGGAGAAACGAGGAAAGCACAAAGAAGATATCGACACCAATTTCTCCAGGATGAAGACCCTTCGAATAATCGTGCGAGTGCTGGAGATAAACGAGCATGGCCGCGAGACCGCGCACACCATCCAGAAACAACACTTTTGTTGGTGGAGCAGAAGAAGCCGTTTCCAAAGACTCTTTCACCGTCGTCTCAGTGCTGGCAGTAGGTTGATTCAGCAGCGCCTCCTCCTCCGCCTCTGACCCCAATGGCAGTCCGCCGCGCTGCGGTGCGTCACTGTCTGAGATCGCAATGGTATCCATCTGTATCGACACGGCCAGTAGCGCCTCATCACTACCTTTTCTGCTGGAAGAGTCGTCGATTGTCGCGACGTTGGGGTGCATCGGAGGAGGTCCTGGCCGTCGGTTCTCTTGTGTTGAGCTCTAATGGCAAATGGCGACTGACAAGTGGCTGAAGCTCGTGAACTTCGATCAGACGACGCACGTTGTGGGACACGTCCGTGTCGAAAGTCGTGTGGGCCACAACTTTTCCATGTCGATGCATCGCGCGGCATTCTGAAGTACGCGGCGAGTCGCTTCGTAAGGAATAAGAAGCATACATAGCAGCAGCATAGGCCATCAGGCGTTGCTATCTGCAAATCCAGGGTAAGGGCGACCATCAGGTTAGGGGTCGGTGCTCAAGGCCATTTAAGTTGTAAAAAGCAGGCTAAGAGATCATGGCTGACATTCGACTCGACACGACAGAGGAGCCAACTGCTACTTAAATTAGACACAGGCTGCGTGCACGCATTTCAACTAATGCAAACTCATTTTATAATCGAGCGTTAATGTGCAAAAAGAAGCGCTCACCACAGGTCTCGGTCACAAAAGCGCCCCACTCGTGTAGTGCAGGCGACAGCTTTGACGACACTGGTGCCAAGATAGTAAGGTACACGTGTGTGCCAATATCGCTCTGTGTTGTAATATCAGAATAATGAGCGTCTGATCGACGATTTGTGGCGGGATCCGGTGCAAAGGAGGTCAATGAAAGTCCATTAATCCATTGCGAGCTCGTCTGTGCTTTGTGTTGTACTCAGTCGTGCAAGCTCGACTTGCACACGCAAGTGGCAGAAGCAGCACAATACATAACGCTCCGTCACGCGCCGTAGAAACGAGCCAAACTGTTTCGTTTAGCGGCTTATCTATGTCACTGTCCTATCCACCAGCTGTCAAGCAATATTTGGCGCAGGTTCGTCGTCTACGTCTGACGGCGATTGCGTCACTGGCGATTGGCACGTGCCGTCACCTCGCTCAGTAAGGTCTCTTTGTAAAAGCCCCGTCCGTACCGAAGCGAAAGTGTCGCTGGACAAAAGGACGTCGATGTAAACTCGTGCTTTGTGCTCCATTCGAGGAAGCACACTACATGATATAATTGGTGACCCCGTTCGAGTAAACGCCCTTTTTAGTATCGCCTGCCTCTGCTTCTGCCTACGAAACGAAGAAGTGGTCCGCTGATGTTTGGTAGATTGTTAGGCAAAAGGCATAGTAGACCTACAGCTGTCCAGCAACGTCATCGGACTCCGGATGTGTCCTGAGTGACTGGTGAGTAGCACCCCATGGAGAGCGAACACATGACATACAGCTGGCAGTTTTCGTGTGATGATGTCACGAACGCAAGATGTAAGGGCATGACGTCAGGCAATCAGACGGTAGAATGAACCTACTCTGGTTTCGTTTACTAGGCTACTCGACTACTTCAGCACGTCCGCCCAGCCATCTCGTACCTTACGTCGACGTGAAGCCCTCTGCGTCACCGATTAGCTCGCAAAGAAAGTATCGCTCTTGCCGGGGCAGAATGTCAAAGTCGTGACGCTCTGACCAAAGCCTTCCTTGCAAAGCGCAGACGTACGTGAGCGCCCACTTCTATCACCTGTAAAATAGGTTATACAGTATGCACGTCGCCCTATGACCACACAAGAAACGGACTTCGGACATCAATCGTCTCGAAAGAAAGAAAACCGTATGAAGCTTCGTACAGTCCATGTAGAGGTGCGGGATGGGGGTATTCGCGTGCACGATTAGAGCGTCGATGTACTTGATCTACAGACAGCAATGTGACTGTTAGAAAGCCACAACATCACTATAGCCCCTTAAAAATGTTTAAAGACTGGTTCCGGAGATCCACGGAATGGAGCAACTCCATTGGCTACGCATGAACCAGCGAGAGAGCAAGATTACATTATTATAAACCGAATACGGTAAGTTCCAGCTATAAAGGTGGCAGATCGAGCGAATTTATTCGAGCAAAGTCTCTTTCTTTGACGAGACATCATCTTCGTACTACTTCTCGCCGCACAGACGCCTTTTCGCGAGCCGAACCAACGGCAACACCAATTTTATTTGGTGTAAGCGGACCTGCACTGCAACGCAAGTAATTCGCAAACGCAAAACCTATAGGTTTTGCGTTTGCGAATTAACGTTGATAGCGAAAGCGCTTTAGATTGTGAGGCTTGAGATGACTGGCATCATGTACGCACGTGTATCGAATGTCTTGTAAAAGTAAGTATCTTTGATAGGTGGCCATAGCGAAGCGACCTGAAAACGCACAATCGCAAGGCCTTGCTTGTTGTAGTAAAACCCTAGTCCAGTTATAGAGTCACACGAAGGCAAAATGACGTCATTCGGTCATCCTTCCGCCGAATATGACATTTTGTTATAGCCACTGAAAATACAGGTACGCATGCAGATCATGTTGTACACAATTCGATTCCTAGCTCATGATCATAGGCGTTTTGTCGAGACATATGACAAATCGGAATCATCAGGGCGCGCAAAGCTAAATCGTACAAGAAAACCCGCGAGCGCTGGATCTGACTGGGGCAAATATGGAACGCAGACTGAATCGTGTTAGTTGTGAACACTTAGTGATGCACTGCTACTTGTGACCATAATTCGTCACAGTGTGATGGAAACGTAGCCGTCGTTACGAGCTCGCGCTGAAGGGAGGGAGAGAAGCGCTCTGGCTTCCAATGAAATTATATGGTCAAGATTCCTTTTGCCGATTGGATCCACTTACGAGTCGGGTTGTGGTAGCGCGGGCACCACTTGTCTACAAGTCAATATCTCACTGGCTGATTGTGTGGGACACGATACTTCACCGTTCTGTCTCCACATGGTGCTCAATCTCTTATCGACTTCACCATAAACCTTGTCGTCGATAGCTTCTGTGGTGCCTCGAATGGGATGTAGTTGCATGGACATCACTATACACAAATTATCATCATTGTTGACGACGATTAGGCCGGTATAGCTTAGTAGACACTTCTTGTGAGATTGGACGACGTGTTGTCGTCGGTTTGACGTTAGAGGACATTGTCTTAAGGTACCGTCGATTAGTTTTCGTTGTAATATGCTGTCTCGATTCGATACAAGTGCCCTGGTGTGCATGCTTACAGCAGACAAGACTATTCCAATATCGAGGGTTGAGTTCCGTATTGATGTGGTTTCTCCCTGTGCCGCTTGATGGTGGCAAGGGAAACGATGTCGTATGTATCTTGGTCAAACTAACGAAAAGTCAATCACGACTCTGGACTGCTGGAGCTGATGCTGCACGTACTGCACACCAGCCATGTCCAAGAGCCGGCGCGAAGCCACGAACTTCCAACTGCAAAGTGAAACAATAGACACAGTCAGATGATACCGTGGTCCTGGGATCAACACAACTCTCAGCTTACTCCTGCTTGTACTTATCGGAGCAGTATACGACGCGCGCGATGCCACTCTGAGCGAAGAATATCACAGTATTAGCAATTGCCAAAGGCTGTCGCAGCAAGGCATCGGACAACCGCATACCTGTATGATGAGCTTGGCGCACTCATTGCAAGGAAAAAGCGCCACGTACATCTGTCCAAAATAGTGCAGCGTTAGACCGACCTCAAAAGCCAGTACCGCATACACAAGCATATTACCGTGCATCCTTTCACGTCTGTAGAGTTCTTGTTCAAAATGGCGTTCATTTCAGCATGGCAAACGTACTGAGGGTCAAGCAAAAAAAGCAAGTTAGCCTTATTCGATCCAAACGATCTTCCTTCGCTTTTTCTTACTGGGTATTTCGTATCAAGTGGTAAGTTCGTCTCACTCTCACGCGCCCAGGGTAGTTCGTCATCCCCACACCCGTTTGGGAATCCGTTGTATCCGATCCCAACGATCTTTCGTTCGGGATTCACGATGCTGTCATCGATGCAAGCGAATCGAGCATCCCGTCAGTCGTAAGAAGTCCATTCTTTGCAATGCGCGATAACTCACCACGCCCCAACCTGAGTAGACGGGTCTATCATCCGCATCGCCATCAAAAAGAGACCAATCAGAACCATCACGTGCAAAGTACACCCATAAACCTCGCGTCATCGAACCACCACCGACCTTTCGAGCGCATTGCACTCAGAAACGCAACGCTCATGAAATAGTCGTCCCACGACAGGTAGTGCAAGCGCTTTTGTACTTGCAGTGGTATTGACGGTTGCAGGACCGCCACTGCCGTTTCTTTCACCGCTACGTCGTCTAGCTTTGCACCCGATGGCACATCGCACAACGTCCCCTCGTCGCCACACAAAGTCGTCTTGTCCTCCGTCGGAGCTCTCGGTGTTCGGGCACACTTTTTCTTCACGCTGCTAGGCGACTTGGCACTGCTCTCAGGTGCAGGCACAGGGCTTGGACAAACGTCTCGTACGGCAGCTGTTACCCAATCCGCGTGCTTCATCAGCACGTGCTGCACCAGATTCGTGTATCCGTGCTTGAGTTTCTGGGACCGCATCTTGCCGCACTTGCACTGGAAGACTGTCGATACTTCCGCATCGTTGGCATTGCTACGAACCGATTGAGACCGATGTACTTCTGTATAGAACAGCTGCATGATCTGCCGTCCGCTTAGCTTTGCCCTCGTCATGATGCTGCCCTCGAATAATATGTGTGCGGATCAGGCTATCTCCGATACGCTTTTGACCAATCACGTACCGCTTCTATCGGCTTTACAGCAGCTATCGAAAAGGACCTTTGCAGGAAAAAGACTACATTGGCTACACAACGGTCACGTTAATCATAATGCGCTCCATAGCTACTTGGAAAGCCTGCATTTCCTCCATACTGTATAGCTCGCACTTGAAACGGGACTGGAGAATACCTATAAACAGCCGAATGCCGAGTGGGATCACCTTGTCGTTGAAGTCGAAGCAGTTCGAGTGCAACGCGCGCAGCTTGTCCGGGTCGCCGTCTTCTTTCGTACCGAGGAAAAAGTAGCATCCCTTGCGCTCTTGCAGGAAATACGAAAAGTCTTCGGCAGCCATGAGCGGCAAGCCCTCCTCGCTCACGAACATCCCCATGTCCATGGCAATCTGCTGGACTTGGCGGGTCTCAACTTGTGGATTGATCACAGGAGCGTAGCCATTGAGGAAGTGCACTTTGGCTGTGGCACCGTAAGCAGCGCACGTCGAATGCACCAACTTAGCAACGCGGTCTTTGATCTTCTCAGCAATCTCAAGATCGAAGTCCCGAATGGTCCCGGCGAGATACGCATGGGATGGGATCACGTTGTTGGTATCACCACCACAAAACTGGGTCACGGACACGACCGCCGTATCCATCGGAGACAACGATCGACTTACAACAGACTGAAGAGACTGCACCACAGCTGCGCCCGCAAGAATAGGATCCACGCATTGTTGGGGCGCAGATCCATGGCCTCCGATGCCATAAATGTCGATAGAAAACTCGACTTCGTGCGCCATAACAGCTCCAGGTCGGACGTGTACACTATACAGCGGGAAAGGGGCATTGTGCAGCCCGTAAATCTCGTCCACATCGATAAGTGCACCCTCTTCAATCATTTTCTGGGCCCCGCCAGGACTCCTCCTCAGCAGGCTGGAACACGAAACGCACGAAAGCGTCATGCGGCAGTAAGTGTGCGCTCCGTACGACCATCGCACAAAGCCCAAGCACCATCGCCATATGACCATCATGGCCACACATATGCGCTGCGGCTGTAGAGGTTACAAACTCCTCATCTTCGTCCCCAGTAGCACTTGGCACAGGAGGAGCACCGATCGTCGTTGTAGTGATCGTCGATGGAACGGGCAATAAGCTCGCCGTCAGATCGTTCGATTCCACATCGAGACCCGCCTTGTCGACCTCATCTGGTGCAACGCCGTTGCTGTCGGACGAGGCCTGCTGAGATGGGTCAACTTCCGCTTGCTCTTTCTTCGGCGACATAGGCTGAGATATAGAGCTTTTCCGCTTCTTTCGCTTTCGGAATTCCTTTTGTCCCTGTTTCTGAGTGGAGCAGTACGGCAAGTGATCGTTCATTTCTTCAATTGGCAGTGCATCCATATCTGCGCGGAAAGCTATCACAGGCAGCTTGCGAGTTTCCAACGGCGCAACGGTAGCGTTTTCATAGCACACATCCACCACAAGTCCCGTGGACGCCATCACTCGGATATTCGCACTTGGAATCTGCAACGCCTTTTCGCAAAATCCCTTGATAAAAGCTTGGGTGCGTACTTCCTGGTATCCCGTCTCGGGATATCGATGGAGCGCGCGTCGGATATCGCGGAGCATGCGCGAGAAGCTTATCCAGTCTAACTTCTCCAGACTTGCCGCTTCTTCCATCTTCCCCGCCACAGCCGCTGTATCTTGCTCAGTAGCTGGAATCGACGCCTCGAACGATAGGGTCGGCCGTTTGCTGCTCTGCGTAAAGTTCTTGAGAAACGGCGTGACCTTGGTCAACATCGCATGCAGTCCGTGCTTCCACGGATCATCAGGTGGGTACATACTCGTGACCGACGCGTTTGCAGAAGATGATGCGTGACTCGCTAGTGCCGATTCGTCCGAGGGTGGCATGAATCCACCGGCGCCTTCGCAGCTGTCCAAGGCGTGCGATGACATGCGCGTGCTCTTCCCACGCAGCCGCTGGTCCCGGACGTCCTCCGGTGTGTCATAGTACCGTCGTAAAAAGTCGTCTTTCTTGAGCAGCAGCTTGCGAATCGCTGCCTCGCTCACGCCAAACTTGTCGGCCAATTGGCGCTTGGAGATTTTGCTGTTCTCGGCCATTTGGATGATATCCACGCGCTCGCGGTCGTTCAGTCGCTTGCCAGAGCCCTTCTTGGCCTTCTTGGTCTCGTTACTGCTCACGTGTGTGTGCTCTTGCTCTTCCTCCTCTTGTTGCTGTTGCTTGATGTACAGCTCTGGCTCCTGCTCCTGAGGGTGTCGGTCGCTCATCTTGGACAGCCGCCGCCGACGCGAGGAATGACTCGGGACGTCGATGTCCTTGCTATCGTAATTAAGCAGAGCCGAACGGTAGTGCGCGCCGCATCCGGGAAGCGTTTTAAGTGGCTGAAATCAGTCCGGCAGCCTCGCCGCGCATAAGCTGTGCGCATCGAGATATGATTCGCTGAAATGTACTGCTCAAGCCACGCAAAGACCGGGCAACGTGGCCCAACCAGCTGCAATGCAACGCGAGCCGGTCACTCTGCAATGGCGCACGTGCTGGACGGCAAGACGGCCGTGGGCGCGTGGGAGGGCGCGAACATCTTGTCCATTGCACAGTTCGGCAAGGAGAGCGCCCAGTACGTGACGCACACACACACATGCGAAGAATGTACTGATCACTTACATACTCACTCACTCTCTTGCTCTGGTGTGAGGTAGACGCGTGCTGAGCGTGGCCGATGAGATGAAGCAGATGGTCAAGACGCAAGGCGCAAGTGACCTGCTCAGGGGCAAGGTACGCCTTGCAGTGAACTGCAGTACGTCGGGTTGTGTTGCTGACTTGGTCCATTGTTGCTGACCTACTTTCTTGTTGCTCGTGCTCACGCTGTAGCTGCTCGCCAACGTGTTCATGGAGCCGTCTACACGCACGAGCAGCTCGTTCCAAGCTGCGATGAAGCGTCTTGGTGGCCTTGTTGTGTGTGTCAATGAGAGCTCGTCCAGCAGTAAGAAAGGAGAGACACTCGATGATACCGTTCGGTGCCTCGAGTGTTATGCCGACGTGATCGTACTTCGCCATCCAGTCAAGGGCAGTGCTTTAATTGCTGCTGAAGCCACGAAGAAGCCTGTGCTGAATGCTGGCGACGGCGTCGGTGAACATCCGACTCAGGCTATGCTGGATTTATACACCATCTACAGCGAGTTCGGCGACTTGGAGAATTTGAAAGGCAAAGTTGTCACTATGGTCGGTGACCTCAAGTACGGCCGCACGGTGCACTCATTGTCGAAGCTGCTGGCAATGTACGGTACGACGTTCAATTACGTGTCGCCTGAGAGCTTGAAGATGCCGCGCGATGTGTATGATGAGCTGAACGCACGAGGTATTGAGCAGGTCGAGCTGAGTGACCTAGACGCAGTCATTAGCGAGACCGACGTGCTCTATGTGACGCGTGTACAAAAGGTAAGTGGTGCGTTGCAGTGCTGCATGCCAAAACATCAGTCAGTGACGCGTGTGTTTGTTTTGCACTCAGGAACGCTTCGAGTCCGAGGCCGACTACAACGCGGTGAAAGACAGCTTTTGCATTACGTTGGACACTATAAAGGACGCAAAGACAACAATGGTCATCATGCATCCACTGCCGCGTGTCGGAGAAATTGCCAAAGAGGTTGACAACGATCCGCGTGCTGCCTACTTTCGCCAGATGGAGAACGGTATGTATGTGCGCATGGCCCTGCTTGCTCTCGTCCTGGGCAAGGCATAGATAGACAAATACACTACTTGCAGTGACGTCGGCAGTAGTAGTAACCTCAGTCTTGCCGGCAGATTCGTTTTCTTCACCAGACTGCGCACCAGTTTATACAACAAACGTCTCGGCACATATTTTGCACATACCCAGGCTGACGACGCGCCCGGTCACCTGCCACAGCACAGCTCATTTGTACACTCGGCAGCGTTTTCACATCGGTATTCGACTGCCGCATCGTACGCCTCGACATTCAACCTAGAGGCCAAGAAGTACGCGAGCTCTTGGACGAAATGTGTGGCGTCCTCGTACAAAAACGGCAGCAGCGCTTGTTGCAACTCGTCGTAACATGCCTTGGCTCCACACTGTACGACCTTATTGAGACAGCAGCGGATAAGAGCCAGCAGCACCGTCAGATCCACATCGCGTCCAATGCATGCCTTCAGCTCGCTTGTAAGCCACGATTCGTACTCGCCCTGCACCTTGCGCATTGTCGGGAACGCGTGCGTGTCTGCAACCTCCTCCCCAGCCACTCGAACAAGTCGCATGTGACGTCGATACACGAGCGACCGACGACGTATGCGCTGGCAAGTACCGCCTCTCTGGTCTCTTCTTCCACTCCTGTACCTATCGCCCCGCATATGCTTCCCTCGAAAGCCGATGACCTGATAGTCCGACTCGCTGCGCACGTTGGCGTACACCTCTTGGAACGAAGCTTTGCACATCGGACAGGTGGCCGACTCCACACCATGCAGAGCCATACTATGCACCCACGTGCTCAGACAATCGAAGCAGTAGACATGGTAGCAGACCTTGACCATCACGGGGTCCTCCAGCGTCTGCAGACAGATGGGGCACGTATCCCCCAGAACCGCAAAGTCAGCGGCCCGAGTACGTTCGTCTACTGCGTCTACAGAGGCAGTCGCTCGGCCACTGGCGGACGCGATCGTATCCACAGCTTCCTGCGCTTCGTGCGCAGCTATCACAGCCGCGTGGTCGCCTCGAGCGGCCCAATCCTCTTCGTCCTGCGTGGCCGCAGCCGCTGCGCGGTCCCCCAGCGACATGTCAAGACGTCACCCAAACACCCACGCTTCAAGTGGTTAGGGCTCGAGTGACGAATTACACACGAGGTTGGGTTTCATCCAATCAACGCGCGACAAGGCCAAGCGCTGTCTTCCAGTGCTTTCGACCGCACTTGACGCGAACCGATCGAGCGAGCGGTAATCTGCGCACGAGGAGCAATGGCGACGGACGACCTGCTCAAGAAGGGCGCGAAGCACAAGACGCACGCGGCGAAGAAAACCGACACCACGACGACGCATGGGAAGAGCAATGGCAAAGGCGCAGGTGTCGGTGGGTTCCAGCACTTGGGCCTCAGTCCGCTCGTGTTCCGCGGGGTTATGGCCATGGGCTACAAAGTGCCTACGCCCATTCAGCGCAAGTCGCTGCCGATCGTCTTGTCGGGAAAAGACTGCGTGGCGATGGCACGGACGGGTTCCGGCAAGACAGCTGCGTTCTTGATCCCGATGGTGGAAAAGCTCAAGGAACACTCGACGAAGATTGGCGTGCGGGCTCTAGTGCTATCGCCGACACGAGAACTGGCCGTGCAGACGCTGCGGTTCACCAAGCAACTGGCCAAGTTCACTTCGCTCAAGATGGCGCTGATTGTCGGTGGTGAAGGCATGGACCAGCAGTTTGAAGCCATTGCTGCAAACCCTGATGTGCTCGTGGCGACACCTGGTCGTCTGATGCACCACTTGCAGGAGATCCCAGACTTTAACTTGAAAGCTGTCGAGTATGTGGTCTTTGACGAAGCAGACCGCATCTTCGAGATGGGGTTTGCTGAGCAGTTGCAGGAAATTTTAAAGAACATGCCCACCGATCGGCAGACGCTGTTGTTCTCAGCGACGTTGCCAAAGGCCCTCGTGCAGTTTGCACGGGCTGGTTTGAGTGACCCTGAGCTGATTCGCCTGGATGTGGAGAACAAGATCTCGGAGAATCTCAAGATGGCGTTCTTCACGGTGAGGTCGTTGGACAAGCCAGCGCTCTTCCTGTACATGGTCCGTGAATTTTTGCCCAAGGATGACCAGACAATCGTCTTTGCGGCCACTCGTCACCACGTGGAGTTTCTGCATGCGTTGCTAGCGGCGAATCACATCGAGGCATCGTATGCGTATGGTGACATGGATCAGGCCTCTCGCAAAATCAATCTCGGCAAGTTCCGTGCCAAGAAAACAAGCCTGCTGATTGTGACAGATGTGGCAGCTCGTGGAATTGACATTCCGCTGCTGAACAATGTGCTGAACTACTCTTTCCCACCTACGGCCAAGCTGTTCGTGCATCGTGTGGGTCGTGCTGCTCGTGCAGGCCGTAGCGGTACGGCTTTCAGCTTTGTGGACCCGGATGAGACTCCTTTTATGGTCGACTTGCACCTATACATCGGGCGCCGACTGGAAGATTCGTCGCCTGAGGAACACGCTGGCACGAAGCCGTATTCGCTGAGTTCGATGACGGTTGCAGATGTTCATTATGGAGCATTTCCTAATGAGCTAATCGATCAGGAGAATGAAGCCATCACGGAGATGATGTGCAGCCATCCGCAGGTGTCACCGCTGGTGAAAGTCTGCGACAATGCTTACAAAGCTTACGCACGAACTCGCGCTGATCCTTCGAAACTTTCTATTCGTCGTGGTAAGGAGCTGGCGGTGAAGAAGATCCACCCTCTGTTTCAGCAGGACTACGTGCTTGACAAAGGCAAAGCTGATAAGGCAGCGTATGTTGACTCGCTGCTTTCGTTCCGCCCGCCTCAGACGATCTTTGAGATCGCTGCAGGTGCACACTCGTCGGTGAAGCGTTCGTCGCCTGGTGTACAAATGATGGTCAAGAAGCGAAAGTTGCACGGCAAGATCATTGCCACAGAGACAACAAAGGCTGCTAACAAAGTCAAGGCGAATGAAGAGGCAGCAACGATCAACGCAATGGCCAACAAGGAGGAAAGCGCGGGCGTTGATGGTCAAGCGGTAGCAGCTAAGGAGAAAGCAGTCAGCGCTATGGATACGATAGAAACGGAGGAAGCAGTTTTGGCTCCGAAGAAGAAGACTGTGTTTCTGTCCAAGCACGATCGCAAACAGCTTAAGAAACGTGTGGCCGCTGGTGAGAAGGAAGAGGACGTACTGAAACAGATAGCTGCAACGAAGGAGCAAGGGGCAACTGACGCTGTGAACTGCAAGGACCAGGAAGATGGTGAAGGCGCGTCGTTCAAGGACGACGACAACTACATCAGCTACATGAAAGATGGCGATTATACTACCGAAGGCTTTTTGGCGAAGAATGCTGATGGTGGCAAGGTGAATGCATTTGCTGAAGCTCGTCTGGAGGAAGCCATCTTGGACGTGAACCCCGACGAGGCTATTGAGATGAACAAGAAGCGGCGCATTCTGCACTGGGATGTGCGCAAGAAGAAGTTTGTCAAGACTACTGCTGGTGAGCTCACGAGTCAGGGTACGCTCAAGCGCCGCAACGAGAGTGGTGTCAGTGTGCGCAAGAAACACCATGTGGGTGAAGTGTACCGCAAGTGGCAGCAGAAGCAGCACAAACGCGTTGCTGGTGGCGGCGTTGAAACGGAGGAGGGTGGTGACGCTGAGAGCCGCAAGATGGACTATCGCAATGGGAAGAAACCGCGTGGTGTGCCCATGGCCGACCGCAGTCGCGTGAACAAGTTTGCGAAGGATGAGCTGGCGAATGAGGGCAAGATCCGCAAGGAGGAGAAGCGCAAGGCTCGTTCGCGTGGAGCCAAGGTCACCTCTGGCGTGAGATCGAAGCGTGGCAAGGGTAACGTCAAGGGCAAAAGTCACGGTGCGCCCACGAGAAGCAAAGCGATCATCAAGAAGCGGTAGGCGTAGACCAAACAGCTTTGGTGCCACGTGCCACATTTATTCAGCGGTGTACGCACAACGAGGCTACATAATAATATAGACGACTATGACAACGACTTGGACGCCAGATTTACCATACACAAAACGACGTAGTTGAAGTGGTTCACCCAGTCGTGTCTATGAAACGACCTGTACCAATGAAACGCATGAGCTGTTCGGCTGAAAGATTTAGCATCGGGTATGTCGAAACTTAAGCCAATAGCTCATGTGCTTTGTCCAGAAGTGACCTGCATATATCTACATTCGGTCCTCGACTCTGGCCGATGGGGTAGCCATTATTTTTTGCTGATCGTCTCACCTCTAACTGGTCCACTGTTGCAGCAGCAGAAAGCAAGTGAACATTGACCGGGAGCTTGTGCTGTCAAAAGTGGTCATGTGTCGAAATGCAGCAAACTGTCACAAATCGCTTGGGTTCGTTGTCTTGGAAAAGACAAACATTTGTGTTTCGCCACCATCGCGTCACACATCTTACCAAATGTTTCGTATTCGCACCGCCTTTTGCAACAAAACCAACCTTCACAAGCGCACTTTGAAAAGTCACATCGAGTGTCGTCGATACACGTGATGTCCGACTCCGTTTGGACACTGAAGTAACGCCTAGAACCCAAGCGACCCGACTCGGGTTGTGGCCCCCTACTTGGTGTATTCCACACCTGTTGGCTCCACTCGACCAATTGACTCCACGTCACCCTTGTCGACTCGAATGCGGACTGTTGTCGTCAGTGTGTCGGCGCCGACGCTGCTGCTGCTGCTGCACAGCGAGCGGCCGTCGCTCGTGAGCGCGTCCGACACGCACTGCGTCAAGTGGCGCGCGACGTCGAACTGCGATCCGCACGGCCTGCGCGATCCGCAGCACGACGCCGCGTGCTCCGAGCGCATTCCATCGGACCTCTCGGGCTTTTGCGAGTGCGAGGGCCGCCGCCGCGTGCGTGAAGTAGCGTGCGACCACCACGAGTTTACCTGTGAAGAAGCGTGTGCAGAGGACTCGTCGGCTGAGCTCAGCTGTAAGCCCAACGACACGGACGAGATCGCGCGGCGTTGGTGTGCTCTCTAACTGTCGGCTGTGCTCTTGAACTGACGTTTGTGTGCTTTCTGCTTGTGTTCTTTTTTGTGCCATTTGGACGGTATGTAGACCCACAAGGCTTTGAGCATGTGACATGCGGTAGTTCCATTAAGCTGGTACACGAACCAAGTCGCTACCGTCTGCACTCGCACGACATTGCGTACGGCAGTGGCAGTGGTCAGCAGTCGGTCACGACGCACATGGCACGAAACGATGTCAATAGCTACTGGCTCGTGAAAGAAGGGGACGCAGATCCCGTGTGTGAAACAGGGAAGCCTGTCGAGTGTGGGGCGACCATCCGGCTGGAACATTTGCAGACACGACGCAACTTGCACTCGCACATGTTTGAGGCACCGCTGTCGACACAGAATCTAGAAGTCAGTGCTTATGGAGTGGCCGGGGAAGGGGACAGGTCCGACTCGTGGGTCGTCGAGTGTCAAGAGGGCCAGCAGTGCTCGGCTCAGGATCAGTGTGATGATGACGTCGGACTGTGGAAACGCGGAGCGCTCGTGCGCCTTCGCCATCGTGCGACGAGCCACTTGCTGCGCACGAGTGTCACGGCGCGATTCGACGATACCAATTGTCCGCGTTGCCCCATCAATGGCCAGCAAGAAGTTAGTGCGAGCTCCCTGCGCGACGACGAAACGTTGTGGTTTGCTGGCGAAGGCATTTACGTGACGGAGTGAACGTGATGGCTCGATCGGTTAGAGGACAGAGAGGCGACCGAAGGGACGTGATGTAGTACATTGAGGCACTCGACTACAACAAACGCGATCATGTTGCCGCACTAATTTATGCCTTGTGTTCATCCTTCTCACCGTTACAGTTTACTTATTTACTCGACTACTTCAAATCCGTCGTCCTCGAGATCAAACTTCGTCGTCTCATCACACTCAAGGAATACCTGGGGTACACCCCCTTGGTTGATAGGCATCTCAAACAGAGCTGACGTCAGTGCTTTCACCTCCTGCACTAGTGTCCGCACGAATTCGCATCCATTTGCCGAATCCACATCACTCGCTACAGCGCGCGAGCAGCAAGACATTACGTCGTGAGTTTTGAGTGTCGTGTCTAAGCGTCCGGACAACTCCAGCATGTACGACCTAGATGCATCCTTGTACCACCGGATAGATTTACCTTCGAGCTTCATTAGTTCGGTAAGAACTTCACGAAGGTACGACTCACCGTCTACTTGATCGATCGTAGACTGTAAGAACGTCTTAAAATGCGATGCAGTGCATTCAGGAGACACCATGTACGACTATACAAGTAAAGAAGCACAGCGTGAGTCGAGCTCGCAAGGAACAGGCCATTCTGCATTGTGTGACACCATACTCACAGTCGGAAATACCGCCATAAACTTCTCGGCATGGGCCAGCGTTTCTTTCTCCAGCTTCTCCACCCGCACTTTTTCGTCCTGCTTCGATTGCTCCGATTGAATGGACGCCTGGTTAAGATCCTCATTGAATTGCCGCTCCTCAATCTTCGAAATAATCCAGACCATACAGGCGTCCAGGTGGTCGCCAATTTCTTTCACACTAGCTTCAGCATCTTCTTTCCTGAAACCCATCGCGATCAATCGGTCGATCGTAAGGCTATGTCGAACACGATCGGTAGGCCCACGACGCCGACTATGTACTTTACAACGAGCAGACTTTTTTGGTGACAACTCATCCGAGTCATAGTCCGAAGCAACTGCACTAGAATCATACGCGTCCTCTGCATGACCACACAAGGCAATTAGTGATCCCACTTTGCTTCTACCTTCGTCCGCGGTAGAAACACATGGCATGCACGCACCGTAATCGTCATCATCGTCATTCATGAAGCTGTCCAACTCATCAACGTGCTGTTGCTGCTTCACGGCTTTCTTCACCTTGCCTGTTCCTTTGTCGTTTTCGGTCTCGCTTAGCGATACGTTCGATGGCGGTCGGCCACGTTTCTTGCCTATCTTCGTGGTTGTCGACGTTGGCACTGTCATGGGCGACGGCGGGGCAGACACAGACGCGACAACAATTGTTCTGGCAATATTTTGCGCAGATACTGACACAGTCTTGCCCCCTGCTAGTTCAGCTTCAGATCCAAGCATTCCTTCAATCGGCAAGCGCGTGTTCTCTCTCGCTGGCACCGTGGAATGCACTGGTGCCGTAATTTCAGGCTGTTTTGCTTTCGGCGCAAGTGCAAGTAGTGCAGGGGCGTGGCTCGTATTCTGTGCTGGCCTAATTGCCGAGTTTACGATGCTCGCGACTAACGCCGCGGGTGTCCGAGTCTGTATGCGTGTCGTTCCGATAGGCTCGGTGGTAAACGAACACGGTGGTGCGGTAGACTTTCTTGCTGAAACAGGAGGAGCTGCTGCTGAAGCGGTAGTTGTCGCCTCGGTCGATGGTTCAGCAGCACTCCGCGGAGTTGCGTGCACACCAGAAGGAGGAAAACTTTTGGGCTGAGCAGCAATGACTGACTTTTCACGTCCTAGAGACAGAATGATCATAACAGCATAGAGCATAAACCACCACCCGCACGATACAAGCAAAAGTCAGCTGCGTACCTTTGACGACTGAAGCACTTGCGGCATTTCCCAAAGCTTTGATGGAGTCAACAGAGGTTTGCGGAATTGTGCTGCTTGCTGGCACACCTTTTACCGTATCCAAAGAAACCACGCTAACCTGCGGTTGCAACGCTAATGACCTCACTATGGGCGTTGCACCAAGCACCAAAGTTGACTGTTCCCGCACTGCACGGTTCGAGACCGCTAACGCCGAGCCAGGAGCTGCAATTGCTCGTCCTGACAAAGACGTCGCTACACTCCCCGCAACGGATGCTGTCGGTCGTTCTGTAAAACATCCACTCGCTTCCGGCAGCTGCTGTTGTCCTCCAAACGTAGTGCTGGCCGCATCCTTTGACGACACGGCACTCTCCGCCACGTCCAGCGTGATTTGTGCCTATCAACGTACGCACACATACACACGGAGACGTGACGCACACACATCCATATCGACCACAAGAATCACACCACATGTCAGCCAACTATTCAGTCAATCAGTCAGAAAAGCATCAGCAGCAAGCTCTCTTCTCTCTGTCTCTCTCTCTCTCTCTCTCTCTCTCTCTCTCGACACGAAGCACCAGAGCGTACCTTCCCAACATTCCGGAAGCGACTTGCCACCTGTGCGACCGTCAGGCCGCCCATAGGCTCGTCATTGATCCGTCGCACGACGTAACCTACCGCAAAGTCAGTACCCACACATCATCGCGTTCAGTGTCTGCACAAGATCCCGCACGACGCCAACGAGAGCTCTGTCAAGCAGCGCTCGCTGCTCCTACGCAACCTGTGCGGACGCCGGCGCGGTGGGCGGGCGAGTTGGCAAAGACGCTCGAGACCACAGTGTACTTGAGCCCGAGCGCGCTGGTCTTCTGCACGAGCGACATGCCGAAGCTGCGCTCGCCGTCGCGCAGCGTGAGCAGCACGTGGAGCTGGCCAGGCAGCAACGGGCGACTCGCCATCGCGTGCGTGCGTGTGTCAAGCCCGCGAGTGGGGTGTGTGCGCCACACCACAAACCTCTCATCCGGCATTGCGCACACCAGTCGTTCACACGGGGAAGGACGGGCGAATTTATTCGTTTCGACGATGAAACCACGGACCAATCAATTTGCCCCCTAATCTTTGCCCCTCGTCCTGCTGTTGGTGGGGTGTTGAGGCCGGTTGGATTCATTCCATCGACCACCGCCGACGAAGACGACAACGACGACGACAGGAAGCAGACGATGGGGGTCCCTGCCTTCTACCGCTGGGTGCTGGAGAAGTACCCCAAGTGCGTCGTGGACTGCGTCGAGTCGCAGGCTGTCGTGCTCGAGGGCGAGCGCCACTTTGAGCTCACGGACACGACGGGTCCGAACCCCAATGGCTTTGAAGTGGACAACTTGTACGTCGACATGAACGGCCTCATCCATCCATGTGCCCACCCCGAGAACGGAGAAGCGCCCAAGACCGAGGAAGAAATGTACCGTCGGGTCATGGCCTATGTGGATCGTCTCGTCGCTGCTGTGCGGCCGCGTCGCGTGTTGTACTTGGCCATTGACGGCGTCGCACCGCGAGCCAAGATGAATCAACAACGTGCACGTCGCTTTCGCGCTGCGCAGGAGGCAGAACAGCGCATGGAAGTGGAGAAAGAAGCGCTGGACTACATGCGGGGCATGGGCCACAAGGTGCCCACGAAGCAGGAAAAACCGTGGGACTCGAACGTGATCACGCCTGGCACAAAGTTTATGGCCAAACTGGCCAAACACTTGCGGTTCTATATTCGGGACCGAGTGAACAACAACACCGCGTGGAAAAGTATCAAGATCATCTTGTCCGATGCAGGAGTGCCTGGCGAAGGAGAGCATAAGTTGATGCAGTACGTTCGCGTGCAACGCTCGCAGCCTGGGTATGACCCAAACCAGCACCACGTTCTGCACGGCCTGGACGCTGATCTCATTATGCTGGGATTGGCAACTCACGAAGTCAAGTTTTCGATCTTGCGTGAAGAAGTGCTCTTTGGTAAGCAAAAGTACGAGCGCGAACGGCAAAAGGAGCAGCAGATGGTGCTCGATGCAAATGGCACGACGTTGAGTAAGCGAAAACGTGGCGAGTTTGGAGAGCATAACTCGGACTTGGTTGCGTCGGATCTGAAGCCATTGCAGTACCTGCACATTGCGACGCTGCGTGAGTACCTTCAGATTGAGTTTGAACCGTTGTCGCGTGTGCTGCCCTTTGAGTATGATTTCGAACGCGTGGTCGACGACTTTGTGTTCCTGTGTTTTTTCGTCGGCAACGATTTCTTGCCACATTTGCCGTCACTGGATATTCGGGATGGCGCGCTAGACTTTCTCATACTGATCTACGCAAAGCTGTTGCCAGCCATGGGAGGGTATCTCACAGACGGAGGTCATGTGGACTTATCACGTGTCGATGTGATCCTTGCTGAGGTCGGTGAAGTGGAAGACGTGATTTTTCAGCGTCGTGCGCTCAAAGAGGCCGAAAACGCAAGGAGACGGAAGTACTTCTTGACAAATGAGAAGAAGGATCAGATTGCTGCTTCGGCTGCGAAGGACTCGGCGGTAGAGATTTTGAAGAAGCGTCGTATCGGTAAAGATGTGATTGCTCAGGACAAGAAGTACGGCGGCATGACGCCAGAAGAGGCCGTCAAAGCACGTGTAAAAGAAAGCGTAGAGAAGAAACTGGAGCAGTATCGCGAAGAAGTCCAGGATGTTGTACGTCTGGGCGAACCCGGTTGGAAGACCCGATATTACAGCGACAAGCTGAAGGCAGACGACATTGAGGTAGGAGGTGGACGCGAGCGCGTATTTCATGCTTATATTGAGGGCTTGTGCTGGGTGATGCGATATTACTACACAGGCTGTGCGTCGTGGCAGTGGTTCTACCCGTTCCATTACGCTCCGTTCGCATCCGATTTGCGCAACATTGATCGTTTTGAGATCAAGTTCGAAGAGGGCCATCCGTTCCATCCGTTCGAGCAATTGATGGGTGTGTTCCCCGCCGGAAGTAATCACGCGATTCCGAAACCGTACCGGTGGTTGATGTCCGATCCGGAGTCGCCTATCATTGACTTTTATCCAAAGGATATTCCCGTCGACCCGAATGGCAAAGCAATGCCGTGGCTATGGGTGGTTCTGCTGCCATTTATCGACGAGAGCCGATTACTTGAGGCCATGAAAGAGCCGAACCAGAAATTGACTGAAGCCGAAAAGAAGCGGAATGCGCAGTTCGGTAAAGATGTGGTCTTTTTCCACTCCAAGTGTCCCGTGACAAACACACTGCCGACCTCAGAGGCAGTAGAAGCACAAGCAGACCCCAGCCAGTCTCAGTCGTTCAACGGCACGCTCATCTACGTGGATGCACTCTACTTTGATATTGGTGGAGTTGTGCCAAGCCCCGAGAAGGCCCAAAGGCATTTGGTGGACATCCCAAACAACAGGTGTTACAGCTTCCAGTACCGCCTGCCACCCACGTTATCGCATCTGTCCAAGATTTTGGAGGGTGCGCAGCTGCCCAGCCCTGTCCTGATCTCGGACAACGACCGGCGAATCACCATCCCGTTCTTCGGCAAGGCCAACATTAACATTGTGGATTTAGCTGGCGACGCTTCAAATCACACGAATGTGCGTCAGAACAGCATGTCGCGCCACAATGGCGGCGGTGGTGGTGGCGGTCGTGGCGGATACGGTGGTCGTGGAGGTGGAGGTCGACATGGAGGCGGCAGCGGGGGTCGTGGGTATGGCAATCAGGGATATCAACACCAAGGCAACCAGCGCTCGGGGAGCAACAACTTGAACGTGGATCGCTACGGCGGTCCTCCGCAACAGCAGCAACAGCAGTACAACCAATACTTGACCAACGGCCATGGCAATTGGGGCTCACAGGAGCCACGGAATAAGCGTGGGCAGTACGGTGACTCGAACCAGTACAGCGGAGGCCAGGCGTCGTACGGTCGACCGAGCTCAGAGTACCGCAGCGGGCACAATGGCAGGAACAGTGGCGGTCGCGGGTACCAAGGTGGGTTTGGTGGCCGAGGAGGACGTGGAGCTCCCATCCAGTCGGCGTTCGGAGGCCATTTGCAGACTGCCCAGGCGTACCCCTCGACGCACGCTGGATCGGCGTCGTCCGCTGCTCCGGCACCTCGCAGCCTCGATGCATTGAAGGCTGGACTTCGCAGCATGCACGAGCAGCGCCAGAACAATCCAAAGGGTCCGTCGAAAGCTGATGCCAGGCGCTATGACCGCTCGTGAGGTGCTCGCAGAGCGATCGTATGGAGACTGCAGCTTTGTCGTGTCAAGTTTTGCAGCAGACGGGCATCATTTGGTCGTCAATATGTTTGCCGTGCTCTTTTTGTGTGTGCTTTTTATCGTGCGTGGATGTTTTCGCTGGGCCCGATTGGATTTTCGACGGATGATGTTTGCGCCCGCTTTTGTTATATCTCGATATTCTCGAAATGATCTGATGGATGTTGTCTTCATCCACACGTCTGATTCCTTACTCATTTGTCTGCTTTTCATATAACTCACCATGCAATGGCACGACAACGAGTCGAAGGAAGACGGCCTCGAGCCGCTGCCACCGCCGCCAGCTCCTCATGCACCTCCAGACACACGTTTCCTGCACTTGGCTCGATACCAAATGACTCACGAGAGCTTACGTGAGCGCCAAGTTGAGCTCTTGCCGCCGCAGTCTCCTCCTCTTCAACACGCCCATCCGCTGTCGGCACGACAGCACGACGACGACACCCGAACCATCGCGGGCCGACCGACAAGAGACGGGGCAGCGATCATCCACAACGACCACCGAAAGATACGGCGTCAACGGTCGATTGCGGCCCGTAAAAACGACCCCAATGTGCCATTTCCAAGCCACGAACAAGGCAAAGCATCCGCCACAACGACCAGTGTCCCTCGAAAGAGTGACACCTCAGATGCATCGGCGACCAAACCGACCACAAGTAGCTCTGATGCAATGGCAGTCCGGCGGCAACAGCAGAAGAAGACGGACGCGGCGCTCGAGACAGTGCTTCTCAGCGAAGAAGAAAAGGCCATTGCGGCCACCGAAGCCAGTGCGAGACGCCACGACTTGTTGCCCACTGTCCGTCAAGCAGCGCGGGAGAGCCAGTGGCCCAACAGCAGGGGGGATACGTGTGGCAGTGCATTGGCACGAGCTGAAACGCGACGAGTGGGGAAGCAGCTGAGTGCCAAGTGGCTGCAGACGCGACGGGACCCTTCGAATCGTCCCAGGGGACCACTCGAGCGGCCCGAAGAGCAGGAGCTGCGCGAGACGTTGTTCCGACCGACAGCGCGGAGTTTGCTGCGCTCAGGTGTGCTCTTTGACGGAGTCGACGCGACACGGAACGCGACGTTTGCACCGATGCAGAGCGCTCGACTGCCTGTGGTGTCGAAGGGGATCACTGGACTAGCAGGCTGTTGTTTCGAACGCACGGGGCACGAGCTCGAGCGAGAAAACAATCGCTCGAGTGCTGGGTCTGTTTTTCACGCGGCAGGTATGCGCTGACTGAGCAGTTGACGTAGTCTGGACCTGCCTGTCTGGTTGTAATCTATCGTTCGTTGATCACGTTAGCACGATGGCAGAAATGCTGCAAGCTTGCGACTATAGTCCCTCTTCTCTTTGGCCACGAGCACTGCATTGAAAACCAGAGCCACAAGCACGAGGAAGGCGTGCGCGACTTGAACTGACGACGACCACGCTACCATCTCGACCAGCATCATGACTGTCTCCATTGCAACTAGCACGCCGACAGTGTACAGCGCTTTGCCCACTAGGTCACCGACGCTCAAAACCATGACTGCGACCAGCAGTAACAGGTCTGTCAGAAGCACAAACTGCAGCAATACATGTGGAAACGCACAAGGTCAGTAGTCTCCAGCACACACCAACAACGACGACAACAACAACAACAGTAGCACGCACAATGTCAATGCAAGCTGCGCACCTTCTTCACAGGATGATCCCGAGCAGCGAAGCCAACGCCAGTACCGCGAAGCTGCGCTGCAGCAGTCCCAGACAAATAGTCCTTCTTCGGCGACGCGGTCGAGTAGCTCCATACACTCAGACAGCACACTGCCAACACGAGCGGTACATTCATCCACACCACATGTCGCATTATGCGCTACAAAGAGCACAAACACCAGAGAGCGAGACAGACAGACAGACAGACAGACACACACACACATCTCTTCGTCAGCCACGTGTGCCTTCTCTCTCTCTCTCTCTCTCTCTCTCACACACACACACATCCGTCAACAACCGCCTTCACCTGCTGCAGCTTTTCACGAAACGCCTTCTGCTCGGCCTCGCGCAGCCGCAGCTGCAGGACATTTGCAGGGTCACGGACATGTCGAGCACGAATCTGCACGCATTGTCAATAGTATCAGCGACCCATTGCAGCTGAGCCATTACCCCAAGCGCTGCAGACAGACAGACAGACAAACGAACAAACACACAAACAACGACAAGCGATCCAAAGCACTCACGACCCGTCGCAGCTTCTCTTTGACTGGCAGTGTCGCGTCAAAGCGCGTCTCGAGGCGCGGGACCAGCAGCCGCGTCACCTGCTGTCGGACCACGCGATCGTACTGCGTCTGCCTGCAGACAACACCCAGAAAGTCGTGGACGTTAACCTTTGTAGCCATATGTCAGTGACGCACTGTCTGCTGTGCACATAGAGGGAATGAGTGTATTGCATCGCACCAGACGCGATCGTTGTCCAGCAGTCGGTACAGGTGACGACACGCAGAGCTCACGACCACAACGTCCACTGGCGCTAGAAACACTGCGATGCGGGGCCAGACGTGTCGCAGGCGCTTCGAGTGGAGCTTCACGCGCTTGCTCAGGTTCCGCAGACGCGCAGTGTGGACCGTCGACGACGTCTGCGGTTGCAGTGGTACGTGCTGCGCTCCTCCCGTCATGGCAGACGACACTTTAATCAGGGTCGGTCGGTCGTTGGTCGGTTGGTCGGTCGATCGGTCTATTTGACTCTTTGTCTGTCTGTTTGTTTTGTCAGTTTATTTGTCTCTTTGTCTGTCTGTATTTTGTCTCTTTGCCTGTCTGTTTGTTTTGTCGGTTTATTTGTCTCGTTGTCTGTATGTCTGTCTGTTTGTCAGTCAGTCACCGACGAAATCGACTGTAGAGCTTCGAGGGTCAGAAGGAGTGGGCTGGAAGCATACAAAACACACGCTAGAACCTGACCTCACCGACTACTGCTGAGGTATTTTATCCGTGTGTCTGTCTGCTGCTATCTGACGTGTGCCTTTGGTCCGCTAATTGATCGCATTCGGGCCATATCACGCGTGGGTACAGGGCGAACTATAATTCGAAAGTCCATCCACTTGTGGTCAATGCTGAACAGCAGCCAACGAAACGATACATCGAAGGGGATCGCATCGCCACTTTTTCGACATCTCAATCGATACTGTGTATCACCCATCTACGAAATGCAAACGTGGTCTTCGTCATCTACAAGTCCAGCTCGCTTGAGCCACAGAGGAGAGTGCCAGTGAACTACGATGAGCACCACTGACCAAAGTACGTGGCAGTGATATGGAAGTTGAACAGAAGCGATCTGAGCATATTGCCGGGTGCACGAGGCAGATAGTGATTGACAGCCACAAGTGGAGACGGAAGACCGATGATTCTAGCTCCTGTGGTCTCAAGCAGGCCGACATGTTCCAATCTCGACGATGCGGCGTAATTTTCTTCTCGGACGTGCTGTGTGCATATGCAGGGCGGAGCGAACGGGCCGAAGCGAAACATTACCGTGTCTGGAGAGCTTTCGAGTCGGAGCTCGAGAATTCAAATAAAAGTAAGAATAAGTTCATAGAAAAGTATGGGAAGCCGAAATGAATATGGTGTGTGAAACGAAGGGTCATAAATGATATGTCAAAGGCGACCAAAGTAACAGAAAGAAAGCAGAAGGTTTGACTTGCGAAAAACGCACCACATGTTAAAAAGAAGAGATTAAAATAATGCATCAAATGATCACGAAAGTAAAAAGCGCGAAAAACAAAAATGCAACTCTAATACGCGTCATATATTCGTGAGCATATGAATGACCTCAAAATGAGAAAATTTAAAATACACCACGGGCGTAATACGTTCGAGATCGCTCATTTGGTCTGCGAAGCAGCGATCGCCAGTGATCACAAAGAAGTATAAATTAGCCAATTTTGGTCCAAACAGCAGCCCCCATAAGCAAATGCTTTTATTAGAGGAAATGCAAGATGGTGGTAGATACGTTGCAGTCGACCGACCACTCTCGAAGGATAGGAACATTGGTTGTGAGTCTGGGCATGTTGTTTCGTTGGTTGAAAAAAAGTGGAACTTGGTAGGAGAACTGTTGATTCAATATCACTTTCACA